GGCAAAGACACTGTCTTGGTTACTTTTCTCATTGCTGAGACAAAATACCCGACATCCAAAGTTAAAGGGGAAAGGGTTTCTTTACCCAGTCTGTGGAGGTTTCAGTCCATAGTTGCCTGGCTCCAAGGCAGAGGAGCATCACAGAGGAGAAACAGTTACGGCGGGCAGAAGGTGGCAAAGTAGTGAAGAAGCAAAGCAGCGAGTGACAGGGGATGGGCAAGCACCTAGGCTCGTTCTGTCCCTTTATTCTACCCAGGCTGCCCGCCCTTAGACTGGGCAGCACTCACGCTCTGGGTGAGCCTTCCCTTTACCCACTCCCAGAAATGTGCCAGACCAGTCAGTGGGCTGATTTAGCAGTCACACACCCTTGATCCCAGACAACACACCCTAGGCCCAGCCACCCCCCAAAAGCCCTGCCTCTGATCGCTTGAGACTTTGGGGAGACATCGAGATAGAAGCCATAGCAGATACCATAGCCACTCGTAGAACCAATGATTAGGTGGGTAAATTGGTGCCAGTGACAAAGGGTTAATGCATACTACACAAAAGCCTTTAAGAAATCTCTGGGGGAGAAAACAAGAATCAACAAAAAGCAGAGCAGTGGTGTGAACAGCTGTCCATGAAAGCCATTCCTGCCTGAAAATACAAACACGAAGTGCTGCAATATTGTAATAGTGAAGGAATTACAGATCAGTGAGCTTTGCAGGAAGAAATATTTTGCAGGTAAAAATCTGAAGTGTTTCCACTCCTTTGGGAAATAGATCTGGCAGAGCCGGTGAAAATTAAAAGCAGGCATATTCTTGACTTGGAGAGCTAAGGGCAGCTGTCCAGGGCGGCTGAGAGCAGGGCGGTGGACGGCCTGCCGGGGCAGACAGGCTGCCATAGTCACCACTGGCGACTGTTGTCCAGCCACAGAAGCGAGTGTGAGGTGTGGGGTCACCTCAGGCTTTTCCCCGGGGGCCAGAAAGACACAGCGGTGAGCACCCGGCTCACTGGAAACAGCAGAGCCAGGAAGTTCCCGGGTACGCGCGTGTGTGGGTGTGTAAGCACGCGGAGGGAAAGGGCAGGCGTGCTCCGAATAGTGGCCTCTGTCCTGAGGCGGGCGATGGGGCAGACGGAGGGTGGTAGCCTGGAAAGGGGGAAGACACTTCTAGCACCGCAGCCCGGGTTACATTTCTCCATCCAGATGAGCTGCGATGCGTGAGTCCTCACCGTACCAGGGTCTGGCCTGCACTTCCCCTCTTCTCCTTTCATAGCAGAGTCTGGCTATGAGAAGGCGGCAGTGTGCTAACCAGGACTGCGTTCCTGGGTCTCTTGCAGCTTGGTTTGGCCATGTGGCTACTTCTGAATGACAGAAAGCAGGAAGGTGCCAGCTGAATCCTGCAGGAAGCTGTCTGGAAAGAGGCAGGGAGGTGGTGTAGGGGCCTTTTGTTCTTTTAGCCTTCTCGCTCTTCTTTCCTGGAGGCAGATATGATGGCTGGAGCTTCAGCAGCCACCTTCAACTTTCAGGGCAGCCTGAGGATGGAGGCCACTCCCTCCTCAGAGAATGGCAGAATCTGGGTTCCTGCCAGCCCTGGGGCCGTGCTGCCAGCCCTGGACTGCCTTGCTGCATGCATGCTTTTGCTATTCTCAGTATGTGTTCCAAGCCCCAAACATTGTTCCTGTTTGATACAGTATACACTAAAAAAAAAAAAAAAGGTTAAAATAACACACATTCAATTAACAAAGCGCTAAGCTGCAGAAGCAAGATTAAAAATCAAAATTAGAGGACAGAGCAAAGGGAGATCTGGCTTCAGCATGGGCATGACACTGGCTTCCAGCTATTTCTTCAGACTTGCCTGAATTCAAAGTCACTCTTGACCCAAACCAGCTCTGCACTGCAAACAGAAGCGGCCCAGGCTCGCTGCCTTCAGAAGCACAGATGTCTCCAAGCCATGAGGGTTCAAGAGCGTGCGTTAACCATCTTCCCTCTCCACCTCGCAGTAACCTCCACTTAGGGAGTACAAAGCAGGTGTCAGGCCCACCCCTGGCACTAGACTGAGACTGGGGAGGCCAGGAGGGAGGAGGGAGGCAGGGAGGAGGTAATTCAGCACCCCAGAGAAAGGGGCTAGAAGCAGTGCCCTGCTTTTAGGCATGTTCTTGACGACTCTGCATTCACTTTTGAATTGGAATAATTATCATAGTACATTAAGCTGAAAAGGCTTTTCTTAAGCAAAAGAGGAAAATGCCATTTATCAGAGAACTAGCGTAATGTTAAAAGACCACAGACAAAGGCTTTGAAGCACTGTGAAATGAGGCTGTGCTTTTGAAGGCTTGTAATTAGAAAGTGGCGTGCTGCCTCTCACACGATGTTTTCTGCTGAGATTGTTTCACCGTGAGCTGTTGAGCTGGGATTTCAGTGAACCCCTGTCTAAGGAACATTTTCTTTCTCAGGAACTGAAACATCACTGAGAGAGCCGCACTGCCATCTAGCCCATCTCCCGGGAACGGCAGGCTTCGCCTCTGCCCTGGGCTTTGCAGGCCGAATGTGACGCTTTCCTAAATATTAGCACGCAGACTATCAGTGTCGCCAGTACCTCAGAACTGAAGGGGAAAGAGCCATCAGAGACATTTCTGGAGATCACAGCATGATAGAGACCAGGACTTCCGGCCCCATGTAAGCAGGGTATGACCTCTGGGGAGATCTTGGGTTACTTTCGTTGTTTGGTATTATTACTGGTTGCTTAAGGTGCCATAATAAAGTACCTTTGATTTGGGATGATATAAAACTAAAAGATAACACTGGGGTGAGAAGTGGGACTTTAGCATTGGCTGTCATTGTGGGTTCCCTCCCTTCCCCCCTCACACGTGAAATCAGAGGCTCCTTCTCCCCTTTACAGTGGCCTAAGGTCTGCTTTGCCTGTGGGGACGCACACAGCTCTGAAAGGCAGCGAAGTGAGTTTCAGTGGCTTCTCTGGCTGTGCACCCACACCCCGCTGGAAGGCCTGGCGTTTCCGCCCTGTGGACGGCTCCCTTGTGCTCAGCAAGCCCGTGGGGTGGCTCTCACGCTAGACGAGCTTTGGTAAACGTGTAGAAGTCGACACAAAGGGAATCGTGCAGTACTCTCGTGCCAGGTGCTTTTGTGCAGTCAAATATGTTCGTGACTTTTTTGTTACTCTGTAAGTCAGTCACTTCTGTTATCCGCCCATGCAGTGAGTGTCTTTGTCCACTCTCCTACTGAGGAGTGCACCCAAGATGGCGCCATGAGCATGTGTAGAAACCTCAGGACGCATCCCCAAGGCCCTCCTCCCCCACTGTCACGCTGGGGTTAAGTTTCCAACACAGCAGTGTGGGAGGACACATTCAGACCTTCGTGTCTGGGTACCTCACATGGGCATCATACACCTTTGCCTTTGGGGGCTTTATTTCACTCAGCATAATGTCCTCAGGGCTCATCGATGGTGTGTCAGTGACAGGACTGCCTGCCTTTCCATGTGTGTACCCCATGTCTGCTCTCTGTCCGTGTGCGGGTGCACATTTGTGTTGCTTCCAGGAGCCCTTAGCCAAAGTGAACAAGGCCGCTGTGAACATGAGTGTGCAGATATCTTCTTGAAACTCTGTCTTGTTCTTTTGGTTTTTGGTTTTTTTGGTTTGGTTTTTTTGCAGTACCAGGAATCGAACTCATGACCTTGCGCTTGCCAGGCAGGTGCTGTGCCGCTGAGCTAAATCCCCAGCCCCTGCCTTGTTTTTTTGGATGTACACTCAGCTGAGAGTATATGCTGGATCCTATGTTAGTTCCAATCTTAATTTTTTTGAAGACACTCCAGACTGATTTCCATAGTGAGTGTACAACTTCACAATTCCACCAAGGAAGGGGCTGGGGATTTACCTCAGCGGCACAGCGCCTGCCTGGCAAGCACAAGGTTGTGAGCTTGATTCCTGGTACCAGAAAAAAAACAAAATACCAAAAAAAAAAAAAAAAAATTCCAAGGAACGCACAGGATTCTAACTGCTCCATATCCTTGCAAACACTTCCCACACACTGCGGCCCTCGCCTCCTCACTTCCCTCCCAGCCGTCTGCAGCAGGGCACACCGTGTCAGGACCTAGCACCTGTCATGTGCCCAGGAGCGGCGTGCCCGCGAGGGGCCTCTGCGCCTCAGTTCCCTCTGCACCAAGGGGCTGTGAGCATCTCCGGAGTCCACACTCACAGCGCTTTGGATGCCCCACCCATGTAGGCAAGAGGAGAGCTGGCTGGGGTGAGGAAACCCTGGCAGCGAGGACCTCGGCTGGGTTCACAAGGGCTGGTCCTGGACCCGCACTGGCCGCTGCGGTAGGGGCACGCGTGTGCGCACGGACAGACACGTGGCTGCTCTGCGCCTCAGCACTCTTCCCTTGGGTGTGAGGCAGCCGGGCTCTCTGTGCTGCTGTGACCTGTGAGAACCGAGTCCTCCAGGCAGAGGTGACCGCTCTTCACGGCAGGGCTTCATCTCCCTGCGCCGGCCCTCTTCCCTATCACCCAGCGCAGAAGGGAGCAGGGAGAGCTGTTCTGAGACAACTCCATTCACAAAGGAAGAGGCCAGGTTCTCCCCTTGAGCCATAATTTGCCGGCCTTGAGCAAGACCAGTGGTTGTGAAACCTGTGCTTTGAGTCAGCAGGAGGGCTGTGCGGCACCCACCCGCCTGGGGTGAGGCCTGGGGTTGCCTGGGGAGCAGAACTGATGCAAGACCGCGGGCTGGGGGGCAGCAGGGCAGATGGGCTTTCAGGGCCCAGCAGAACCCATGCCTACCCCGGGTCTCCTGTCAGCTAAGAACGTCCCCTGCCGCCCGCGGCTCTCTGGCCAGACTGAGGGGCGGGTCCGGGGTTCCGGCTCAGGCCGGGCTCTGCGGAGGAGACAGGAGCGCGGAGACTGAGAGGGTGGAGGAAGTCGCCCCGTGCGCGCCCCTTGGGGGGATGCCTGGGCCCGGCCCCTCTCCCTCGAGGAGCTGAGCAGCTTTGCTTCCCCAGGTGAGCCTGCCACGCTCTGCCTCAGCACAGGCCCAAACCAGCGGGCCAGAGCCCCAGGGCCTGAAGCTCCGCAAGTGGGAGCCAGAGTAACCGGGGCGCCCCGCCCCACCGGGTCGAGACCCTTCTTCCTGCCCTGGACAGACCGCGGGCGGGCTCCGCCCCGCTGCCCTCTGCACCCGCCCGCTGCTCTCTGCACCCGCTGTCCTCTGCACCCGCTGCCCTGTGCTCCCGCTGCCAGAGAGGGAGCCCCATCCCCGTCCCCAACCCCATCCCGGCCCGCGCAGTGGCCTCCCCCGGGCATGGCGCGCGCCCTGGGCCCTGAGCGGCGGCTGCTGCTCATCTACACCGGCGGCACCTTGGGCATGCGGAGGGAGCGCGGGGGTGAGTGGGGCGTCGGCAGGGGCGGGCTCGGGCTCAGGCTCAGGCTCAGCCGGGCAGCTTTGTCCCTTAGTCGGTCTGGCGGGGCTTGAGCCCGGAAGTCAGTGCCTAGGGATGGGCTCCACTCAGCGGATCCCGAGGTCCCTGGCAGCACCCTCGCTCCCACAGGTCCCTCTACCTGCCCTCCCGCCCCTGCTTGCCCTGCGCTCGCCATCCAGGCCCGGCCAGGCACGCCTGCTGATGTAGCTTGAGAGTGGGCCTTTCCCCGGAGCATCCCCCTCCAAGCTGCGTCTGAGCCCAGTCCCACTCTGGTCCTCCTCGCTGGGCCTGGCCAGGCCCCTCAGAAGCTGCCCCGAGGCTCCGCCTGGCTGACCAACCACTGTAAGGAATGGTGCGAGGCCAGGCCAGCCGAGACCACCAGGCTTATGAAAGGCAACACGGCGTGGAATTTATTGTGCCTGGGTGCAGGAGACAGTGTGAAAGCCCATCCGTAGGAAACAAAGGGAAGTGGCTTGTTACAGGGCTTGAAGGCAGGCAAGAGTCATTCGGCAGGAAGATCTCAGTGAGCATCAGGGGCCGAAAGCGTCCTTCAGATGTAGGACTGAGTCACGGGTGGAGGACGGGATAGGTACAGAAGGGCGTATGGGTCGGGGGCTGGAGGGCTGGAGGGCTGATGGGCACCAGGAGACGGGGTGGAGCAGGCGCGAGGTAACTGGCTGTGGTCCCTCTGAGTCTGGCCTGGGACAAGGTATGGGCGTCGGGAGGGAGGGGTGAGCTGGCTCCGGCGGGAAGGCCAGAGCCACAGCGGTGGTTGACAGCCAGGGAGGGAGGGAGGAGGGTCCAGACCCCAGGGTCCAGATCTGGGGCGGCGATGGGGCTTTGGGTGAGGCCAGAGGAGGAAAGAGGAGAGCGGCTGAACTGGCAGAGGGCTCCTGGGAGTTGTTGCAGTGACACCGAGCTGATGAAGTGAGTCCCACGGGGAGCGGGCGTGGAAACACCAAAGAACTTTCCAGGTGGGTGGTGATCTGGGGTCTTTGTTGTCTACTGAGGTGACTGATGTCGGTCTAGACTTCATCAGACCAGGCATTATCGTGTGTCTCACCCCTTGGGGAGTATGTAGACCTGGTTTTTTGTTGCTTGTCTTGAGGCCTGGCTTTTAACTGATGTGTCTCTGGCCACAGTTGTGGTGTAGACAAGGCCAAAGGACCAAGTAAGTGTGGGCCAAACAGTGGCGTCAACAAGACTATTATGATCATGGTCAAATGTTTTACTAGGAAGACCCAGTAATCGCCTTCTATAAAGAGGTTAAGGGGCCAGACATGGTGGCTCACGCCTGTAATCCCAGCACTTGGGAGGCTGAGGCAGGAGGATTGTTGTGAGTTCAAGGCCAGCCTGAAGGGCATAGTGAAACCCTGTCTCAAAAAAAGAGGTTAAGGAGAAGGTCTAGGGAATTTTAGAATCTGATATGACCCTAACCTGTTGTCTGATATCTTGAATAGCCATAGAGGCATTAGAAGGATCAGGAACATATATATAGCATTCAGCTTTTATAATGGCACAAGTACCCTCTCACAGTGTTGTTAGTGTGTAATATCATCTGATTTTGGAGGACAGCT